ATTGGACCTGAACCAGGAATTAGATCAATCCCAAATTCGACCTCTCTCTGAGGTGGCAGCCTTGGTATCTCATCTGGAAACACACCAGGAAATTCTCTCACAACCGGTACCTCTTCTAGGATATTATCCTTCACTTCATCCATCTGAGTCAGGATCAGATAACACTGAGCTCCCTATCGTAGCTCTTTTTGAACTTGTCGAGCTGATGTAATAAGCTCATCTCCTGATTCCGGATGCACCAACCTCTTCTGTCCATAGTCAATCAGAATGCAATTGGTGGATAACCAATTCATCCCTAAGATCACATCCATATCCTTCAAAGGTAAACCGATTAAGTTCACCTTGTACTGTTGTCCTTCTACGACAACTGGACACCTCAAACACACATAGGAAGACACCACCAGTCCAGCTGCTGGTGTAGATACCCTCAATTCATAGGGTAGGTCACACACAGGTAACTTAAGTTTATCCATACAATTATCAGCAATAAAAGAATGGGTAGCACCTGAATCAAACAAAACTCGTAGAGGTATATCAGAGATAAAACACACACCTTGCACTAAATTCTCTAACCTCGATGGCTCTGCTCCTAACAAGGCAAACACCCGTCCTGTAACTCTGGGTTTCGCGTCACTCCCCCTGGGTGCTAATGATGCCCCAGCTGAGACTATAGCACTGGGCTCCTGTGGGCAGTCTCTAGCCATATGTCCTGGCTTCTGGCAAGTGTAGCAAAGACATGCCCGATAAGTCTGGGAAGGAGTAGTGAAGGCATTTTGTGGGCATTGATTCCTGTAATGAGGGCCTCCACATTGAAAACATTTCACCCCGGATACAGATCCCGATGATCGAGGTGCTGGGGTAACACTGCCACTCCTGGAAGACTAAGGGCGTGGATAAGGTATCCTTCTCTTTGATCTACTACCCCCACTCGGGACCTCACTTGGGTGGGTCCTCATCACTCTGACTCCTACCTCCTGGAGTCTCTCTATTGTCTTCGTTTTCTCCACCAGCTCTGGGAATCTCCTGATAGAGAAAGGAACCACCATGAGCTTGATCTCAGCCCTCAAGCCCTCCTCAAACTTCCTGCAAAGCCATTGTTCTGAAGATGTACCTGTGCAGAAACGAGATAAGTGCTCAAATCATACAGCGTAATCGTATACCGTCAATTACCTTGTCTCAGACTCAGGAACTCAGTCTCCTTCTGAAATCTAACACTGTCAGGGAAGTATTTCTCCAGAAATCTCTCACGGAAGGTTTCCCAATTACACACCTCCCCACGTGCAATCATCATCCTTTGAGTCCCTAACCACCAGAATTCAACCTCATCCACTAGTAAGTATTTTTCGAATGTCAATTTCCTGTCCTCCGGGCATAAGGTAGCCTAAAAAATCTTTTTCACTTCACGCAGCCACTTCTCTGCTGCTTCTGGACCCAAATCTCCTCCAAAATGAGGCGGATTATGCCTCATAAACTCAGTCAACCCCATCTGCTCTGATTGGTGCAATCCAGCAGAGGATGATGTCATAGTTGGCCTCCATTGCGGGTAGGTAGCCTGCTGCTGCATGACAGCTGCCAACATTTCCATTGTTCTGGCTAGGGCATCTACACTCGGTGGAGTAGGAGTAGGAGGTCGTGGTGTCATCCTATATCAAACGCAACTATCAATACAGAGCAAACATTCACACACACTCACATATCAGAGTATAATCACAACGGACTTATCATAGGTTCACTACCCATCCCCACAGATTTACAATGATACTACCGCTCTGATACCATTATTGTAACGACCCTAGAAATCGCTACTATAATGATGCCTTCGCAAAATAGTAAACAAGTAAAAAATGACATCTATCTTACATTATATTACTGTAATTATAACATAGATTGAAATTCCGGTTTACTAACGGAACCTCAAAATATAGTAACATAATTTATTTATACATGTAAAAGTAGCTCTCTCGAAGTTATCCCACTGAACTATCTCTGCTGTCCAGTAGTCACATCTCCATCTTTCAACTCCTGATCTGCTCCCACATAAAAGTGATCATCTAAGTCTCATCCACATGGAAAAATAGGGGTAGTTATTAAATCATTCGATATAATAAAACAGATATAGAAATAATAATTATATATTATGATCAATTACAAAATCATCAACACACTAAGATACCTTCCAGAAGTATACCCTAACTATGCCCGAACTCAGAGGCTATCATCTGTGGGCACATTGCCATTCTGACCACCCTCCACACAGAGTAGGATTACTAGCGCCCTTCATCACTCATACTGGAGTACCCCTCCGAGCGTGCCACCAGTCATCCCCCCATCGACTTCTCACCACCTGATCTCGTAGTCTACCTGACCCGACCAATCAGTGAAGTCTAAGACCTCATTCAGAATCCTCCGACATAGTTATTACACTAAAGTACTATGTACCACCCCGGGTACCATTCAAACACAATAAAAATCATTCACATTTGTCGAATTCTAAACCACCTATCCTCACGGCTCATTCAAGTCAATAAATAATAGTACTTGACTGATTCTGGGCACCAACCCTCCGGCTCAGTCTAGCCAATACATAACATCTCATGACTGATTATGGGCATCAGCCCTTAGACTCAGTTTGACTCACACACGTTACAACACACTACAAAATATTTAAAACTGCTACATTCATTCTATATTTTAAATATAAATATATATATATATATATATATATATATATATATATATATTCTTCTTCTTATTCTTCTTTTTTCGAGATCATTTCCGAAATCACTTCCGAAATTACTTCGAAATCACTTCCAAAATCATTTCCGAAATCTTTTTCGAAATCATTAAATTACTATTTTGCCCTTAATCTTTTCGAAAATTTCATGTATGTCCCTAAATGACTATTTTACCCTTGGACATTTTCGAAAATTCCTTCCATGTCCCAAAAATGACTATTTTGCCCTTGGACATTTTCATAAATTCCATTTATGTCCCTAGGATGTAAAATGACTATTTTACCCTTGAACATTTTCAAAAATTCCTTCCATGTCCCTTTCTTCTTCCTCGCGCCAGAATGAGTTACAAATTTTGCAGATTTTGGCAGATTTCAAATTACTCGAGTTTTAGACAACCAAACTAGTCCCAAATTCAAATTAAACATGAATTATATCTAATTTAAGTTGAAAACAACAATTTTACCATATAATTCATCCTTAATTTTAAGAATTTCAAAAGCTTTCAAACCATGAACAAGTGCATCCAAAATCAGAAATTCTTCAAAATCAGACATTCAAATAATTCATATCTCTACTCCTATTCCTTATTCACAGAGTACCCAACAATTCAATTTCATATGTTGAATGAATTAAACTTCCCCTTACCTGGTATAGTATTTCTACCGAAACTTTCTCACTTAATTTAAGCTCTTTCCCGTTTCACTAGATCCTGCACGAGTAGAGTCTCGTTACTTGAAATTTAGACAATAGAAGAAAAAGAATGAGGAACATGTGATATGGGAGGAAGAATTTCTCGCATAAACCATTCTTCCCCCTTTAAACATATAAAAGAAAAAATTTTAGTGTGTATGAGGAAAACTTCATTACGAAATTTTCTTACACAATAAAAAGCATACATCACATTTAGACTTACGACTTTAAGTCTTAATATATAAGATAATTTCTTTATTCTAATTTATAATAAAATTATGTATATTTTAAAATGTTACTTAATATTTATTTTATCGTTATATTAATATATATTTTATATTATATTATATAAGAATAAGATCTAATATTCGAATTAGAATTTCACGATTTTTTAGTCATAATCTCGATTTTGATAACTTGTCCCCAAGAGAATAACAAAGCAAATTCCATCGGATGAAAAAGAGAAGGAAACGATAGGTCATTATTCTTTCAAAATTCAATAATCTAATTAAATCTGTTACATATACACGTACACAAGGAAAGAGATGTTTGACCTCCCCGAACGACGAGGTTGAAGACAAGCATGATGGGATCGCTGTGCAAAATTATCTCACCAAAATACTGCTCGCCCAAACCAAAGCCTCTCATAGATATTGTTAAATATAATTTGATATTATTAAGATAGTATTAGATGTTATTAATTATAATATAAAATAATATCTTGTGTTTATTTTTGGTTACTCTTTTAGTTGTATATCTCTATTGGTTACTCTTTTAATTGTACATCTCTATTATAAATAGATTATCCTATGTGTTTATTGATATAAAAAAAGATTAATTTCAAACTTTATTTTCTCTATATTCAACATGGTATCTAGAGTTTAAGATTATTTTAAAAACATCGTTCAAAGTCAAGTTGCACAAAACCCAAAAATAGACATCACAAAAAATCAATCTCGTACCAAACTTTATTCGTATTGTCACACAACTAATCATACTAAAATGTGTCCTAACATTATTCATCTACAAAATTAGAATATTTCATATATCATGTTCAATTATATATTATTTCTTTATTATTCCTTATATCTATATTATTAATATTGTCTAATATCATAACATTATTTAAATATTAATATATAATTATATTAATATTTAAATATATATATATATATTTAAAATATGTAAATATATAATTATTAAAAAATATTAATATATAAATATATATACTTATCTAATTATATAAATATATATATATATATATAATTGTATAAATATATAAATATATGTTAACATAAATATTTAAAAAAAAAAAAATATATATATATATATATATATATATTATAATATCCGACAAAAAAAAATCACAATTCAGAATTCGATCCCGACAATCTAATTCTGACTATTTTTTTAGTGCCACAGTGACGATTTTTTATTTAGAATTGGGTTCTTGACGCTGCAATGTAAATTGATACATTTGATAAATAAAATGAGAATGAGTCCATTTGAATAATTAAATATTTCTTTAATATTATTTTGAAAAAAAAAACATCTAAAATTACATTTAATTGTACATTAACAAGCATGATGGGATCGCTGCAAAATTATCTCAGCAAAATACTGGTCGCCCAAACAAAACCCTTCACTAGCCTCATGGACTGCAAGTAACAAACGTTCTTGAAGCTGTTCCTTAGAAGTATACTCAGGAAGGTCAAGTTGATTAGAGCTGAAGCTCAAAGAAGAGATAAGGAATTAGAATGGCAGAAACTCAACATGCAGGCATAGTAAACCATGGATCTGGACAGACTATATATAATATTTAATCACCAAGTATGAGCTGATGGCAGACGATCAGGAGCTCCAGATGCCTTGTGAATCTGAAACCTTTGCGGACCAGAGATGCCCTTCAAGGTGGAGGGGGCATGAATCTTTTGGTTTGTGCTTCCACAATGTTATTACGATTTCCCTTGACATCTCCGACACCAGAAATATACAAGTGTAACAAATGAAATAATAGATGCAATGAAACCAGGACTACAATTATAAAACATTGGATGATTCCAGACTGGTAGGACTACGTCCAGAACCTGAGATTGTAAAACATACGAACAAAAACTTCCGAGTCTCTAGGAACTGGAAATAGTCCAATTGAGAGGCCAACTGCAACTGGCCGGAGAAGAAGCTCTGCTTGAGATGCCGAGGTTGGGGACAAAGGAGAGAAGAATTTACAAAATACTCAAGCAAACGACAGTAGCTTTGCAGTGTATCAAGTAGCCATGTGTCATGGGACAGTTTACCTCCTTCCCCTTTTTTCCAACATCAATATCTGATGATGGAAGAGCGTAGGGAAGTGTCCATAGCAGCTGACTGGTAGCTTCAAATGTTGCGAGGAGCTCTTTAAAAGTTCCATGGACATTAAAAATATTAACCATCGCAGTAATAACAACTCCAGGCGCCTGCTGACAAAAGTGAGAGCAGCCATATCGTCCACAACCTTCCCAAGATATCTACATTTTACTGAAAGTGACATTTCAAGTCCAGAAGTAGAATACCCAGAAAAACTAAGCCTCAAGAAAAATTGTAGCTAAAACAGCTCCAAGAGTCTTCGAAGCTGAACTAAGTGACCCTGAGTCATCTCTTCAACTATTCGGCGAATTGAATCCCTTCACAAGGGCAGTGAAGAAAGAGTGTAAAGTTGAACCCAACTTGTCAAGAATCTCTGAAACAAGAACATTAGGGCTTTTCTTTTTCAGATCTTGGGATGAAGGTGCTTCCAGTGCACTAGGAGGTGCTTCTGAATCAATGCTTAAAGATCCCAAGTGACGTCCAGTGCTTCCACCTCGTGTGCGGCGTATCCCATGCCGACATCAGCAATGCAAACTTTTTCCGTTATATAGTAATTGCAGAAGCCATTACTTGCATCATCCATTATAGCATCCACGAAGGCAGATGGAAGACCAGCGGCAACCAAAATAGGAAAACATGTAGGATCCTTTTGTATCAAGTCACTCATGACAGTAGCTGCAAGAGAAAAAACTCCACCACAAAAATCTTATGTCGCTTTCTGACTTATTTACAGCATAACATTCAAAATGAAGGGTACAACCCAATTCACAAGCAATAGGGTCACAATCCATTAGGTACACCAGATGCATCCAATCCAAGTCCTTCCTAATTTCCACCCCATCCTTATACAACTTTGAATTTAAAATATCTCTTACGGATTACTTTCCAACCGTTTTCTTCAAAAAGGTAGCGAAAGTGTCTAAAGCTGGCCTCAACCACATCTGGATCAGTAGGAGCAAGCAATGCAGAGAGATGCTGCTGCACACACACAAAAACAATATCCAGTATCAATGCTAGAGGTATGAAAGGGTAACACATTTCAAAGTAAAATAAAATAAATAATATAGGTCACCAATAAAAAAGGGAGCACATAAGCAATAAGTCTATCTTAGCTCTCATTATTATGAAGACCAAGGTGGAAAAATATTACCCAAGGGAAAGTGTCATGCCTCATATGAACTATAGAAATGCTTATTTTGTGCAATGATCCAAAATTGTTCTGATGACACGATGAATTTGAAGAACAGATTCTCTAGGGAATGGAGGATCCGAGTCCAAAAAATCATCATCAATCAGCAGATCCTTCCTTGGTTTTACATACTTCTCAAAGTATGAATCTAAATGGTTAAAAAGATCAACCCAGTGATGAAAATCTCCCTGTACGAGAAAACAAACCCTTCAAAGGTTCTTCTATCTTCTCAAGTGGAACTGAAGTAAAACGTAACATCTAATTTTGGGAGGCTCCAAGTAGTAAACAAAAAGGTAATTGATACAATATTTTAATTGATCTATCAATATGTTCATCTCATACTGAAATTAACATAACCGACTATTAATAAATAAAACCAGGATAATAAAAGAGCAAACTACATAACGAAACTTATAACCAAGTAAAAGATGAGAGAGTAACGATGGCAATTAATTAAGCACATAACTTTGCATATTAAACACCGAAACTGATTTCCAGCTGATAAATAGAAACTGTAATAAGACCTGGCTCGCACACCAACTGCCAAAAGTGCAAATTTACTTAAAGAAAAATTGTGGAAGGAAGTAGAGAGCAAAAATAAAAAATAAAAAATAAAAAAAGCACCAAAGTAACAGGTGACTCACAAACTTGGAACATGGAGAATCCTCATGAACTCAAAGTTTCAACATAGAAAAGAGAGGTTCGGACCACCTGTGTAAAACAACAAAGAGTTATTGACAAACAGAGAGAGGAATGAGATAGAGAGAAAACAAGAACTAATTAGATAGAGTGATCTTAAACAACAGTTCAGATCCAATTTCTCGGTTGCATCCTTCCACAGAATTGTGTTAAATATAAAGAACATAATTGATGTCCTTGATAAGTGCGGAATGATGACAAAAATATAATTAAAAGTGATGAGTGTCACACAATGTGGTCAGTCAGAACACAGGAGTTACAAATTTCCATTTGAAATAAAAAAACAATTCTTGAATACTCTTCCTCATATTGTAACTTATTACAACAAAACAAAAAGGAGTAATATCTCTAGCCTCTAAAACGCAAGAGATTGAAGAGACAACAAATTACGTAGCTACACTAGCTTTTCTCTTTCCTTCTCTCTTCACAGGACCTCCTCCATCTGTTCCCTTGAACATTCTCGACAAAACATCTGCTTGCTTAGTGTTCCCCTCCTGATTAAGGCTCTTGATCAGCTCTTCACGGCTTCTCCAATCTGTTGATCCTCTTTTCTCCAGAATTTTACATAGAATGGAATACGCATTGAGGGTCTTCCCTGCTGCTAAGAGAGCATCCAAAACCTTATCATAGATTGAAAAATCTATGATACAGTCTCTCTCAAGAACAAAATCTAACAGTTTGAGAGCAGCAATTGTCTTTTCTTTCTCACAAAGAATAGATAAAAGGTTGTCAAAATCAGGCTCACACCCATTATGCATAAGCAACTCAATTCTCCCCAAAGCTTCTTCCACATGACCTCTCATTAGAAGGGCCTCCAATACCTTAGAAACCAAATTCATATTCTCTTTCACCCCCTTCTCCACCATACTCTTCATTACTCTGCTTGCAGTTTGAATCCTGCCATCATCAAACAAACTCTCCATAACCGACCTGTATAGTGACGATTCAGGAATATGCCCACTCTCTAGCATGCTATCCAAAGCTGTTTTAGCATCAGCCGGCTCTCCCTTTCTCAGGTAACTCTCAATAAGCAACCTGTAGGAATCTGCATCTCTAGGAACCCCTCTCCTACCCATGATCTTTATAATCTCAAAGGCAGAATCAGGGTTGCCTTCCTTCGAATGTCCCTGGATCAAACTATTGAAAGCAACCGAATCCTGCACACCCTTTTTCAACAACTGACGGAAGAACATTTCTGCCTTACTAGTTCGCCCATGCTCACACAAATACTCAATCATCAAATTATAAGCACTAGCCTCCATCTCAAAAGCATTCTGCGGCCGCAGCACAATCTCCTTCTCAATCAACTTGTCCAACAACTTCTCCGCCTTGTCATACACATTCGCCTTGCAAAAACTCTCAATCAACATACCATAGTGCCCAGCCTCGGTGGGAATGCTCAGTCTAATCATCGCCTTCAGCACATCTGCAGCCGCATCCAAATCCCCGGACTTACACTGAACACTCAGCAGCTTCACAAACACAGCATTATCCTTCGGTGCAATGTACCTCTCCACCATCTCCCCCAAAACATCCCTGGCCTCCACCGTCTTCTCAGCATCACACAGCCCCGGCAACAGTGTGGAGAACGTGACGGCATTTGGCTTAATTCCACAGCTCTTCATATCCTCAAAAACCTTCATGGCATCATCAATCCGGCCCGCGGCAACATACCCTTTCAACATGGTGGTAAAACTTATCACATTGGGGGCAATGTCCCTCCCCTTCATCTCCACAAACAACTTTTCCGCATCCTCCACCTTCTTAAACCGAAAATACCCGTTAATCAAAGTGTTGTAAGTCACAACATCAGGCAAAACACCCCTAGTCTTCATCTCCTCGTAAAATCTAACAGCGGTGTCCAATCTCAACGACAAAAACATACCCCAGAGCAGAATATTAAAAGTATGGCGCGTGGGCTCCACGCCCTCCCGCAGCATCGCGTTGTAGTACCTCTTGGCCATCATGTAGCGTCCGCGACGGAGAATGACCTTGAAGAGCGCGTCGTAGGACTTAACGGTGCGTTCCACGCCGAGCTCCTTCATCTTCTGGAAGAGCTTCACTGATTCCTGCACGATCCCGGAGCGGCCGTAGCTGTCAATGAGAGAGACGAATGCGTCTTCAGTGGCAGCAGCGCGGCCGTGCGTGTCGTCGAGGACGATGCAGCGCGCGTGGTTGAGTTTGGAGTAGCGGCCGAGGATTTGGATGATCTTGAGAGTGGTGTCGGGGGTGTGGGTGAAGAGGCCGGCGCGTTCCACCCACCGGTAGAAGTGGAGCGCGTGTTCCGGCGATTCGGCGCCATGGAGGACGTTGTAGACGAGGGAAGGATCGAAGCGCGGGACGAGGGAGCGGATCGAGTTCTGCAAGCGGGTGGTCCAGGCGCGGTTCGCCATCATTCGGCAGATGACGAGTTCCAGATTATTCTGGCCAGGGGGAACGGGTTGGGATTCAGGTTGAGATTCGGGTTGGGGTGACCCATGAGAGGGGTCTGGGTCAGAGAGAGCTTCGGCGGTGGAGAAGGTGTAGAAAGGATTGGGATGGAGAGCGGGTCTCCGTCGGAGAAGCTTACAATGAGAAAGCTGAGCCATGGAGTTTGGATTGGAGAGGTAGAGGAGGCAGAGTTCAAGAAGGGTCAGTAGCAGTGCCACTGGAGAAGAAGCTAGGGTTTAAGAGTTTAGTGATAACCCATTACAATACACTTTTCTTTTTTCCTTAATTACAATTTTTTTTCCTAGATGTAATTTATTTTTAAAATTACCAATATGATATTTTTTCAAAAAATTATAAAGAATAGATAACTATACTTAAAAATACGGTTTTATGATAACCTTGTATTTTAAATATTATTTTTGTTTTTTTATAATATTGAAATTATGTATGTGAATACGAATTTCTATTTTTAGTTTTTGATGTTTTTATATTTTTCAATAATAATAAATCAAAATAATGATAATAATTATTATTATTTTACATTTTAAATTTTAAATTCTATTTTATTTTTATTTTTTAAAATATATTTACTTTTTTCATATGTTTATTATTTTTAAATATATAAATTATAATAACTACTTTATCTTTAAATTATAACACTTTTATTTTTCTAATGAGACAAAAAATATTATATATAATTATAGACTAACTTAATTATTTATTATTATTATTTATTTATTATTATTATTGTAGTTTTTATTATAATTATTGTCATTATATGTATTTTATTATTATAGTTATAGTTATATTTTATTTTTATAATAATAAATCATATTTAATATTATTAAAAAAATATTATTATTATTATTATATAATTATATTATAATAATAATAATAATAATAATAATAATAATAAGTATAATAATAGTAACTATAATAATAATAATAATAATAATATAAAAACATAAAAAAGCTTAAAAGTATAACAAAAAGTGACATATTATATGCTTCACTAAAAGATGAAAAAAATAAAAATCGTATTTATATGTATTACAACGGTATTATAATTGAAAAAGAAAAAACAAAAATTAAGTGCATTATTCATTTTTATAACTTTTTTTAAAATATACTTATATATGTAATTTAAAAATAAAATGTTACTATTTTTTTATGTTTTTGGCTTTTTATCCTGATATAATTTGTAAATTATAAATAGGTTAAAATTTATTCTTATATATATATATATATATATATATATATATATATATATATATATATATATATATATATATATAAAGTAATACGCTATATTCTTGAAAAAAAAATTCCTTGTTTTAGAGTTTGCATAATTAATAGTTCAATATAATAGCATACATAATCTACACAAAATAATACCTAATTCATTGTGTAATAACAAGTTTTAATGGTCACAATAATATTTAAAAAATATAGAAATTGAAAAACTATTTTGTGAGAAAAGTTTAAAGAAATTTATGATCTATATATTAGTTGTTGGATTATAGATAGCAGGATAAGAAAAATACCCTCAAATTTATAATATAGATGTTACAACAAAACTAATAGAAACATAAATGCATAAAGTTTAAATACAATACTGTAATATATTCATCACCTATTATGAAAAAGATGCGTATATTCAGTCTTATATTTCATGTACCAACTCTAACTTTCTTTCTTGTAAAAAATAATAAAAATATTCCAATAGCAATTAGTACCCGAACCTTAGTTAACTACAAATAAAATTATATAAGATTTTTTACAACATTTAAATTCAATATTTAATTTAATATGATTTAAAAATGTTCATTTTATTATTTTATCATTGAGACAATTATAAATATAAAAAAAATTATAATTAATTAAATATTTTGCTCTCTGTATATATTAAAAAATAAATGAAACTATTTAACTTATCCTTAAGAATAGTTAATATCAAATAAAATTAGAATAATTTTAAATTTATAATTTCAAACAAATTTGCTTTCCTAAAATTTATACCACATATATATCAGGTAAAATAAATGGTGTTCTAAATATAGAAATAGATAAAAATATTATCCTAGTATACTAAAAATGTTTAAGGGGTGGAAATATATATATATATATATATATATATATATATATATATATATATATATATATATATATATATATATATATATACTAAAGATCTAATTATGAAGAAAAAATTATTTTTATAATAAAATATTTTTATTATTATATTTATATGTTTTGATATAATAATTATGATAATAAAATTTTAATTATAATTAAAATAGTTTTTTATCATAGCTTAATAACCTCAAATTAATATATATATATATATATATATTAATATTCATAAATATTAATAGATTTTATTTATTAGTTTATATATATAAAATGATGGACATTTGTTTCACTTTATTCTTCCTCACAAGTATTTTTTTAGTAAATATATTTTGTTTGAGCGAAAATTTATTATATTAGCGGGAAGATAAAATGAATAAAGAAAAGGAAGAATAAAAAAGAAACAAAAAATAATGGAAGAACAATACATAGATATTTTATTAGGTTCTTATTTTCTTTGATCTTCTCTTTTTCATATTTGATTTGTACCACATCATCGTGGGGGTTGAGCTTCTCTTTATATTAGGATTGAAGGTAAACTATCAAACTCCCTATATTTGGTTTTGTGTTGAAAAATAATTTTTAAATTGGGTTTGAACCAACTCATCTAATAAATTTGAATATTAGGAATAAATTTGAATTTATTAGTTGAATCAATGTTTGATCCTAATGCAAAGATCTTGTTTTGATTATTGAGGAATTGATTATTGCAATAGAATCTTTGGAAATTTGAAATCAAGGAATTGATTTAGAAAGACTTGTGTACATTTAATAATATAGGAAAATTTCAATCTTAATAATTCACTCACATTTGTTTATGAACCATATGAAGCTTTACAGTGCTAAACTTTTAGATAAAGTACTAGTGAATTTTATTGAAAATCTTGATGAAAAAGAAGAATAAGAAATTAGAAAGTGTTTGGCATAACTTGATATAACTAAGGAAACTTCTTCTACAACTCTGTAGAAACAAGGGTTGAAAAAAGAAGAGAATTTGTAGCCTCAAGAGTTGGAGTTGAAACAACTATCCGATCATTTGAAGAATGTTTTTCTTGCAAATAATGGTGGGAAACCTATTATAATTAGCAACTCATTTTCAGAGGAAGAGGAACAAAAACTCATTTAGGTGTTGAAAGCTAATGAAGAAGCTATTAGTTGGACATTTTTTAAGGACTTAGTCCTTCATATTATATGAATAGAATTCTAATGGATGAAGATTACAATCTTGTAGCTCAACTTAGAGGCACTTCAATCCTACAGTGAAAGAAGTGGTAAGAAAAGACGTGATCAACTTGCCTGAAGGAGGTATGATATACTCTATCTCTGACTGTGCTTGGATTAGTCCAATTCAAGTTGTTTCAAAGAAAGAAGACATGACAGTGTTCTACATTGAAAATAATGAATTGATTCTCACTATGACTATTACTGGTTAGAGGATGTGCATAGATTATAGAAGGTTAAACCAAGTCACTAGGAAGGATCACTTTCCACTTCCTTTCATGGACCAAATGTTGAAAAGTTGGTTAATGAGATGTGGATTTTGTCCAGGAGACCACCCATATAGTCATTGTACCATTTTTTATCAGCAACAATATGAAGAGGCAGAGCTACTACTCAAACATGAATAATGTAAAGAGGCAAGACCACTACTCACTACTCCAACAACAACAATTACAATTAGAACTCAAGTTGGAGAGGCAACCAAAATCAGTATGTTGGATGGAATCAAGAAGTAAGTTATCTTAGGGACAACCTCCTCATAAACCTTATCAAAGTTAATAGAAATTTCAACCTGACATAATGACTAGAATATAGGAGGAAATCACACAGTTTATGCAAGTATGTGCAACAAACCAAAAGAATACAAAGGCTTAGAAACTTGGAGATGCAAAAGTTAGCTAGCTATGCAATTAGCTAATTAGCTAGACAACTAGTTTTCAGAAAATACAAAGGTCAATCCATCACAATAAGGAGCAGTATTGTCATAGGAAGAGGGATAGGTGAAAATCTTAATGAAGAAAAGCATGTAATTGATAAAAAGAAATGAAAAAGTTGAACTAGAGAATGAGTCTGAAGTGGAGATTAATAAAAATAAAAGATAGGAGTGATGAAAATAGGAACTTTAAAGAGTAGAAAAGAAAGAATGAGGTGCACAAGAAGAAAGAAAAAGAAGTGAAGACTCCTTGCTTGAAAAATCTTCCTTATCCACATGTTTCATCAAAGAAAGAAAGGGAATGACAATTTACAAGGTTCCTTGATATCCTGAAAAGATTGCAAATCAACATCCCTTTCATAGAAGCATGAAACAAATGTTAACTTATGTCAAAGTCATGAAGGAACTCTTGATAAAGAAAAGGAAATTTAGAGTGAATGAAACTGTTGAATTAAAAGTTGGTTGTAGTGTCATTATTCAAAAATCTCTACCTAAAAAATCTAGAGATCTTAGGAGTTTTACCTTGCCTATAATAGTAGGAAACCTCTCAGTTGACACAATACTATTAGATCTTGGAGCAAGTATTACTCTTATGCCTTTATCCATGCTGAAAAAGATAGGTTAGGTGGATGTAAGGCCTACAAGGATGACTCTGTAGTTTACTGATAATTTGGTGAAGTATCCTCATGGTATTGTTGAAGATCTTGTGGTATGAGTTGATAAATTTTTATTTCCAGTAGACTTTGTAATCATGGAAATGGAAGAAGATGTTGAAATTTCCCTTATTCTTGAGCGTCCTTTTATGAAAACTGTTAAAGTAATAATTGATGTAGATGATGGAAAATTGAAAGTGCATGTGCAATATGATGAGGTTAATTTTAATGTTTTGAAGCAATAGGACATCCTAGTGATAAAAAGGATTGTGTTTAGAATGAATGTGATTGATAAAGTTTGTTTACGGGCCCATAACAAGATTTACATGGCTAAACTTTTAGAGAAAGTATTAATGAATTTTATTGAAAATCTTCATGAAGAAGAAGAATAAGAAATTAGAAAGTGCTTGGCAAAACGTGATATAACTAAGGAAATCTCTTA